GGCTGGTTTTTTTCCGTGGTACCTACAGGTCCGTGAGGGGGAGGCAGCCTCCCCGGCGATGTGTTCGCCTGTTGTAGGAGCTCAGCCTCTTCTCTGGCTGTGCTTCTTCATAAAGATATTTAAGCCGAATTAAATAATGGCCACACGCCGACGGGAGGTGTGCCGGCTGGTATCGTGTCATGCAGGGAGAACTCCGAAGGGGGTATTGTTTAACTAAGAAGTAATCCTTTGTAGCGTTTATTTCAACAAGTGAGCACTCAAATGGCTGAAAAGACAACCAAGAAACGAGTCTGTTTGAGCAATGTCACACGGAGACTTCTGATCTTGATCTTTGTTACACATTTCTAAATTAAGTGTTTCAAGACCATGTGCAAACATTTAAGCATGATGTACCTTATGCAGGTGCTTGTGTGAGGAGAGAGCAACCTTGAGAGAGCAATGCTTTATAAGAGGTGGAAGAATGCAAGAAACCCTCAAAAAAACAAAACAAAAAAATCCCCGAAGCATTTCTTTAAAAACAATGATGCGTCCAGCCCAGAGATTTGTACCAGGCAATTGTAGCCTCAGCTTGTACTGGTAATCACTTCACACTAAGAGTGAGTTGCAAAAGAATTAAAAGCTGGTGGAGTAGAGAAACTATTGCAGAACAACTTAAGCTGAAATTTGCAGCCTTCTTTTTTCTCTTAACTTCTTGTGTGAATGATAAGATTACTGTTAACATACGGAGGTCTGTTTATAGTATGCCAGGACTACCTCAGTATAAAGACTGACTGCATGGATCACTAGAATAGTTGAAGTGCTGTAAAAGTTTGCTATTGTTTACTGACCAGCAGCTTTCTCTAGCTGTTTTTATCTAATGTAATGTTGTGTTTTTCCAAATACTATGAATTAAAATACAATCTGATTAGTTGTAGGAATTTGTGTAAATATTATGCATAGTTTTGCTCTTTCCTATTAATATTTTGCATAACAATGCCTGAATAAGCTGTATCTAAAAATGAAACTTTAACTGTGTTTTGTGGAAGACAATGGGCCAGGATTCATGTGGAAGAATATATCAGAAAGCCTGCAGCAAGCAGAGCAAGGATTCTAAACTGCTGATGAATAAAGGTTGCTCTTAAGCAAAGTTTGGGTCTGTTGTTGGCAAGCACTTAAATAAGTAAGAAGGTGTAAGTGTTGTATTTTAGGAGTGGAGAAACTGCACAGAGAGATCAGCACTTGCCCAGAGTTGCGGAACAGGGAATGCTGTGCCCAGAGCACAGTAATTAACCATGTTTCTTTAATCCCAGGAGCTGTGAGTCTGGTGGGAAGGTTGTTTTGTCAGTAAGTCTTGCTCTGGCCAGCCAAAAACAAGGGGCACTGAAGCAGTGTTCATCTTCTCTCTGGAGTGAGGTGTGCTTTTCTGGATTGATGGTTGTACATCATTTACAGTTTAATGTACTTACTGTACCATAACAGAGAAGAGCTTCTCTGTAGCAGAAAGGTTCTCTTTCTGGTGATGGAGGAGAATCCTATGATTGTGCTCTGCCTTGCTGAAGAGGTGGTTTATTGTTTTCTTTTGTATACTCTGATTTTATTGCTGGAAGGTGAAGACTGGGAGTAATGCCTCTTGAAATCTCTTCAACATGCTGTCAGAACCATGCTGAGGTTAGCAAGATATTGCTGTCGTGTCACAAATGTGTACTTGTGGCCCTTAGAACTTGTATTAGTAATTTGGTCTGAAATTTTAAAAAGTTGAAAATCCACTGTGTGATGTAGAAGACCACTTCCCTAACTAATTGCATCGCTACTACTGCTTGTATCCTTGTGTAAGGGAGCAGATAAAGAAGAGGGCAGCAATGCATTGTAATGCGCTGTGCATGTGCTTCGGTCAGCGAAAGCTTTTGCAGCTGTGGGCCTCCCTCCTTAGAGAAAATGTTATATGAGTCAAGGCAACTGTCTCCTCAGGTGTGTTTGATTTAGCTGTACTGAATGCAGTGGGCTTTTTTTATAAGGAATTAGAAATGTGCCTGAGAGCAGTACCCTGGATGTTTTCTTGCATTTTGGCACTGGTGTGTGGCAGCTGAGTTGTTTTTTTTGGTTGTTTTTTTTTTTTTTTTTTTTTTGCCCCTAGTGCTTTGTCTGCAGAGTGGCTTTCCCCAGTGATTGAGTTTCAGACATTTGGGAAAGTTTCGCGGTTGGTTGGTGGTCTTAAACTCATTCACATCTGTTGGTGTGGTGAGTACCCTGATCACCTCTGACTAATGCTCCTGTGTTTCTCAGAAGCTGCTGACTCACTTCGTTTTTGTGCTTTTCCCTTGTCCTTCTCCAGTGCCTTCAAATACAGATGTGGTAGGGTTAAAGGAAGGTCAGGGAAAGGGGAAGTGGAAATGAATGAGAATAACTGTGTTGTGGTGAGGATGAAGATGCTGTAAAGGTCCCTCATTGATAATGCCAGAAGAAGATGATGGCTGTAATGGATTTCCTGAAAAGGTACATAAACCATGTGTTAGAACTGGACAGAGCAGTCTAACAACTGTAGTGAGCCCACAGATGGGAAATGCTGGCTTATGGTCCTGCTAGAGGTCTGCTCTTTATTTTGAATTTAGGCTTTTTACCTGTATGCCTCCGTTTTCACCTTCAGCCCTTCTGTCCATCTTGTTATATTCTGCCACAAAGAGCTTAACGCTGAAGTCGTTTTCTGCTGCTTGCAGAAGGGCTGACCTCGCTTGAGGTTTCTGCTGTAGCATAAATAACAGGAACAGGGAAAGACAATTAACCCGTTCTAGGCTGGAAAGAAGTCAGAGGTAGAAGTCACTGAGAGGTTTACTTGGCAGAAGGTTAGGAGCTGCAGGCAGAGACAAACACATTGATATCACATGTATGTGTGACCATTTATTAACTTCTTAAAATTTTCTGACATGCACCAGCTTTCCTTTAATCTGACCAACAAGGTTAAATTTCAATCACATTTTTTGTAGCAGGATCCAGGTGAATGAAAAGGTTTACCTGTGCAAATTCAGTTGTCAGATTATGCAAGTTTTTTCATGTGTCAGAAAAAGTGGAAGACCCGATTTAAAACCTCCTGTTTAAAGAAGGTCTGGAAGCATTCTGTTTGCAGCAGCCTACACCTGCACTTCAATAATTTATGAGGATTTCCCCCTTCAAGTCACAGGTGGTTTGTCAAGGGTTTACAAGGCTTTAGTTTGTTTTATGGTTCTGAGGATCTGCTTAGACAGTGCTGAAATTTGCAGACATTTACATATTTTTTTTTCTCTTGATGTAGTGTTAGTGAAAATTGCCATAAAACAATGCAGTAACATCACTGTTGCCAAATGTGTGGGTGGTAGGCAGGAGGATACCACGAACTACACACAACCAGCAAATGTAAAACAAGTGTCAAAGTAATTGAAAGACACTGTCCGTTCCTGTTGCCCAACAGTGACAGAGGTGCAATAGGGTTGTAATTAAGCAGAAGGATAGCTGGGAAAGTGCTGTTCGCAAGCTCATTGAGCCTTCAGTGTGTCACTGTCTGGTTTTCACATGCCTGTACCTCTGAGAGTGTGCATAAATACTGTGTTTCATCCAAGATGGAGACAGAGAAGAGCTTGATTCTGAATTTAAACTGTGTAAAACTGTCTCAAGTTTATTTGAAGTTAACAGGACAAATGCTCAAAGACAGACTTTTGAAAGGATTTAGGTCCCTGAAGTTGTGCAGAGATGTAGAAAATCCAGGTATGTGTTGATGTACCTGGTGCTTAATTTAGTGCAAAATTTATAGAAATGTTACTAGATTCTTACCAGCATGTTTAGGAACTGTAACATCTGCACACTTGTCATGGGGTAAGGTAAATGGTGTTGGATCAAGCACTATCTCTGAATTATTTTGCTGGAAGTTTAAGGTGGTTTTGACTAGCCCTGGCTTTAGGTGCTGAGAACATAAGTTTATTGATTAGCTATGTCACATTTGGCTGGTTTTGATGGACAAAGTTTTCCAAGCAACAACGATTATTGACGCTTGTTGAGAGATTTCTTTTGGCTTCAACAGGATTTGAATCGGGTCCAAAATGAAACCTCCCTTTGTTATTGGACTGGATAAATCTGGTAGCTGTGATGAAGGCTTTTATTCTCCGAAGTTCTCAAATTAAATCAAGCTATTATGGAACTGATGACTGGGGAGAATGAGGGGGCTAAAAGTATTCTGAGTTCATGGCGTAGCAAAACAGTTCTGAACACCTGTGTCTTAGTGGTGAGTGAAAACGGGTGTGGAAAAGGATGGCTGAAATGTGAGTAAAGCAGTCACCATGTTTATTTAGATATTTACCTGGCATCTGGATGTCTCATTGTTTTGTGCGTGGGTGCAGCTGAGCCTTTTGCTGAAGCCGGCATCTTATTTTTTAGAACCATGCCAACTACATCTCAGCTGTAAGACATGTTTTTCTAAGTACTGGATGTTACTTCTTTAAGGCAAGAGTTGGGTTTTTTTGAATAATAAGTCTGGAAGCTTCCCTGCCACATTAATTCTTCAGTTAAACTATCTTCTACAGAAAGAAGCATTAGGAAATACTTAATGAATAAATATTAATATCCTCTGCATCCCTGTCTTGTTGTGGCTACATCTTGTGCATGCATTGTCATTTCCAATTTTGGGATGATTTTCATAAAGGAGAAATTCAGCTCTTTCGTGCTCTTCAGTGTCATATGATACAATACAGCCAAATTAAATTAATACTTGGTGGTTAAAAAAAAAAGCTTGCAAATCTTTTTCTGTTTAACATTTCCTTAGTATTCAAAGACCATACTAGTGAATGTTATTTCATATTAATTAAGAATATGCAAATGGATTAGCTGAAGGAGGCAGTCTACTGTCACAGAAGATTAAAAAAAAACCTAACAGCTCACTTGAAGTTGTAATCAGGTGGATGGCACTTTTAATTTCCAGCACAGTTAACAACATCTTGTGATTTGTACTGGAAGCTTTTGGATCGCCTCACAGATGAGGTTAGTGCTGTTCCCTCATATCTCTGTGATTAGGAAACACAGAGGATGTGGCCTGTCCCATGTCCCCGCTGTGTCTATGGCAGTGTTGTCAGCAGGGCTCAGATCTGCCAAGAGGGAGAAGGTGGTTGTCTCCAGCAGGCCATACAGCTGCTCAGAGAGAGACGCTATGTTAAAAGTATTGGTGCTGGTTTTTGGGGGACTGTAGAAGATTTGTTACCAGCCCACAGTCTGGTGGTGGAAGCTCCACTTGTAAACCAGTGGTACTGCCATCATGCCGTTTTCCTCAGCTCAGTGATTTATGCCATATCTCTGCTGCTTTCCAGACCCCTTTTAAAGTTTTTTTGTTGCCACAAATCCTATATTGTTCTTTAGTAGCCTTCTCTGGCTTTCTTGAATAAACAAAACAACAAAACCACACAAGTTAGAAACTGGATTTCTAGGAAAAGGCTTAAAAAGGCAGCCCAAAATTATGGGAATGTAAATCTCAATTCCAGAAAATATAAAGAGATCATTTTATGGGAGCATACTGAGGAAAGAATCCTAGAATGGTTTGGATTGGAAGGGACGTCAAAGAGCATCGAGTTCCAACCCCCTGCCATGGGCAGGGACACCTCCCACTAGCCCAGGTTGCTCAAAGCCTCATCCAGCCTGGCCTTGAATGTTTCCAGGGTCAGGGAATCTACCACCTCTCTGGACAGCCTGTTCCAATGTCTCACCAGCCTCACAGTAAAAGATTTATTCCTAAAATGTAATCTACCCTGTTTCAGCTTAAAACCGTTACACCTCATCCTATTGCTACACTCCCTGATGAAGAGTGCCTCGAAGTACTGGGAGTCTGCTATAAGGTCTCCCTGGAGCCTTCTCCAGGCTAAATAACCCCAACTCTCTCAGCATGTCCTCATATGGGAGGTGCTCCAGCCCTCCAGCCGTCTTTGTGGCCCTCCTCTGGACCTGCTCCAAGAGGTCCATGTCTTTCATGTGCTGAGGACCTCACAGCTGGACGCAGTACTCCAGGTAGGATCTCACGAGAGCAGAGTAGAGAGGGAGAATCACCTCCTTCGACCTGCTGGTCACGCTTCTCTTGATGCAGCCCAGGACATGGTTGGCTTTCTGGACAGCAAGCGTGCACTGACAGCTCATTTTGAGCTTCTCATCCACCAGCATCCCCAAGTCCTTCTCCTCAGGGCTGCTCTCTATCCATTCTCTGCCCAGCCTGTATTTGTGCTTGGGATTGCCTCGACCCACGTGCAGGACCTTGCACTTGGCCTTGTTAAACTTTATGAGGTTTGCATTAACCCACCTCTCAAGCCACCTGCCCAGGTCCCTCTGGATGGCATCCCTTCCCCCTCAGCATGTTGACTGCACCACACACCTTGTTGTCATCGGCAAACTTGCTGGGGGTGCACTCGATCTCACTGTCACTGACAAAGATGTTAAACAACACTGGTCCCAATACCAGTGCCACTCATCACTGGTCTCCACCTGGATGTCGAGCTGCTGACTGCAGCTCTTGAGTGTGACCATCCAGCCAGTTCGTTATCCAGCGAGTGGTCCTTCTGTCAAATCCATATCCCTTCAATTTAGAGACAAGAATATCATGCAGGACAGTGTCAAAGGCTTTCCAAAAGTCCAAGTAGATTACATCGGTTGCTCTTCCCTTATCCACCAATGCTGTGTCCCCGTCGTAGAAGGCCACCAGATGAGTAAGGCACGATTTGCCCTTAGTGAAGCCACACTGACTGTCACCAATCACGTCCTTGTTTTCCGTGTGCCTGAGCATAGTTTCCAGAAGGATCTGCTCCATGATCTTGCCAGGCACAGAGGTGAGACTGACCACCCTGGGGTTATTTCCCTTTTTGAAAATTGGTGTTATGTTTCCCTTTTTCCACTCACTGGGAATGTCACCAGACTGCCATGACCTCTCAGGTGTGATGAATAGTGGCTTAGCAACTTTATTTTCCAGTTCCTTCAGGACCTGTGGGTGCGTCTCATCAGGTCCCACAGACTTGTGCACCTTCAGGTTCTTTATATGGTCTCGAACCTGATCTCCTACTAAGGGCAGTTCTTCACTCTCCCAGTCCCTGCCTTTGCCTTCCCTGACTTGGGCGACACGGTGTGAGCACTTGCTGGTGAAGATGGAGGCAAAAAAGTTGTTGGGTACCTCAGCCTTCTCAATATCTCGGGTAACCAGGTCTCCCATTTCCTTCTGGAGAGGGCCCAAATTATTCCTTTCCCAGGGTTGATGATTTTTATCTTCTGATTGTTGTCCTTGAAGCATCTAGCAGTGCCTTTAATTCCTTCTTGGGTAGGAATAATGAATGAGATGCACGTCTGAATGCACATGCACACAGTACTGTCAGCTTGGTACTTAAAGTTGTAACTTCTAGTTTATAGTACAGAGCCATCCAAGTTGCTGAATACATGATTTTAATTTCTTGAGGAATGGAGAAAGGAAGGGAAAATACGAGTTGATTAGATAAGCACATACGTCCTGGTTTGAACCATCTCCTGCATTTATAGCTGTTGAATCATCTGCTGCCGCTGAAGGTCCTTGTGGGATGTCTCTGTTCCCTCTCTTCTGGCCTGTTAGAAGCTGTTGCAAGGGAAACTTGGGCATGGGCAAGAAGGCAAATAAATGAGAATGAGAAGTACCATTTTATGTTGAAAGCTGGAGCCCAGGAACGGGCAGGTCCCGTTTCTGGAGTTGGCTCTGCCATGGATTTGCCATGTGACTGTTGCAGGCTCTCCAGCAGCATTGTTCTGAGTTCCCTGTATGCAAGACAGGTAGCAAGACAGATCTTGCCAGGCTTACTTCAGTAGCGTCTTCTAGATGGGTGGAGCTTTTCGTATGAAAGCGGGTGGACAAATCCAGGAAAGAACTGACAAAAATCCACGCTGTTTTCATCCTGTCCATGAAGGGTGTAATCGTGCATGTAGAAATGGACTTGCTCATGATACTGAGTGTGCTGAGTGAATGTGAAACTTCTCTGCCTGGATGCAGCTGCTTACCTGTTTTAATGGTATGGAAGGCTGTTTGTTGCAGAATTGGAGTTAGAAGGTGATAATTTCATAGTCGGACTTTGTAACTAATTCATTGTGGGTAAGAATAGGAGGATTAAATATTTAGAGCTTTAAATGTGATCCATGTTTCCTTGTTGCTTCACGCCTCAAGCTGGTTTGGATGCGGGGAAAGTATTTTTTCTGTTGAGAGTATAGATAGTTCCTGTACCTTGTGCTGACCCTTTGCATTGCTGTGAATGTAATTTACAGTTCTTTAAAACAAGATGAGAGTCATCAGTATTTGGCAAGCATAAACCATGAGTCTTCATAGGAGAGACCTCCTTTCCAAAGCTTATCTCTTATCAAGAGAATGTTTGGGCTCCCAGCACAATTTAAAAAAAAAAAAAAAAGTCAAAAAAAGCAACCATAGTTTTATACCAGCTCCTGAATAATCCTTTGTCTGCCTCTCTCCCTCCCCCCATTTCTTCAGGCTCTTCTAAAAGAAGTGTTTTTGTAATAACCACAGGAGAACTCTGTAGCTACTCCTGTGCTGGATCTGTTCCTGAAATGGCCATTGCAGAGGTGATCAACCATGTGCTGTGTGCCCTCGATGCTGGGTAAATACCACGATGCAGGTGGCAACATCCTGCTGTACTGTGCCTGCTGCCTGGGTAGTTTTTACTGTGTTCATTTCCCATGCCCAGGGGTGGTGATGTGAATCTCGCCATTGACAGATTTCTCACAGGCTGTGCACTGAGGACCAGTGGCTCGACTAGGCAGACTCTGACCTCTGTACCTCAAGTGTACAGTTGCCTCAAATGGTCCATGATTGTTCTGTACACAAATTCGTGTATCATCAACACAAAAGCATCTGTACTTATGTACATACACACGTATTTATATTTGGGAAGGTTTAGTTTGTTGCAGACCTTCAAATCCTGTTACTTCATAAGCCACCTGCACTTTTGCAGCAAGCCGGATCATCCACTGAAGTGACTTTGTAGAAATACATTTTGTGGGTGTTTGTTTTTTTAGAGAGGAGTGTGCCTGATGACAGTAATGCGTTGGCCTGGTTACCTTTGGCTAAGCACTTAGTGTTGCCTGTGAGACCAAATATTGAATTGGCTATGAGCGCATGATATGGTTGCTTGTCCTAGACAGTTGTTCACCCTGGCTATTTTTGAGGAACTATCCAGATTGCTTATATTTGTGTGACAGTGTTGACCACATCCTGCTTAGCTTCTCTGTATGTGTTCTTGCAAATTCTTGTTTGCTGTTTAGTCCTGCTCCCTTGCTCAGTCCCTAAATTTGACTGCTGTTTGTTATGTTGCTCTTGTTGGCAGTGCAAGTAACTTGTTAGACTAATGGACCCAGATAAAGTAAAAGAGGAAACAGAGGGATTCTGTGGTCCCCAAAACTGAACTCGGATAGAATGCTCCAGGTCTTAAATATCTTAATGCAGCTCTTTTATTTTTCCCAAGCAAATGGCAGATTTGGAGAAATATATATATATGAATATATTAAAATATAGAAACTTGGGTGGGAAACAATTGAAGAGCAACACTTAGCATGCTGGAAAGAAGCAACTTGCTTTCCACTGCTAGTTTTGTGAACTTGATGTTCAGCAGCTGAGAGAACTTCTCCCTTACATATTTTTTGAGGATCTCTGCAGGAGCTTTTAACAGAAGTTAAAAGTTTAACCCTTCAAGTGCTTAACCCTCTTCAAATAAATGCCTTCCTCTGCATCAAGCCCCGCAGTCCATAGACACTGGACCCCCAGGAGTTCTGTACTGCCTTCTGTTCAAGCCCAGCTCCCTGTGGCTTCCTTGTCCAGCTCCCTCCTCCCTGAATATTTCATGCTTCTGGAAGACGGAGCAGAACTGAACTGCTTCTCACCAGAACTTGGGCAGCAGCTCCCCATCTTTCCCTCTCCAGCTATACTGTGCATTTCACCAGCAGAGAGTACACATACACAGAGAACTTGCATCCTGGCAGGCATGTGGACTTCACGTAGCTGTCTTGCTCTATGTTAGATCACAGCAGGAAGAAAACATAAAAGGAGAAGGGGAAAGCATTATTATACAGTAACCATTTCAAAAACTCCTGGGTTACATTCATTTCTTCAGTTTATACTCTGTTATGCTAATTATCTCAGTGCTCAATAGAAAATAAATCAAAATTCAGTTTTATAGCAAGTGTATAAATTGGAAATCCTAACACTTCCTGGTAGATGATATTCATTCGTCAGTCTTTGAAACAGCCAGACTGACTGATCTCTCCTTTGTAGCACTGTGTGTTACAAAATACGCGGTTCAGGAATGCATGGCTCCTCAGGAAAACCTAAAAACATTCTTAAGTTCCCTTAACTTTGAAGGAAGTGCTGATTTCAGATATGCTGAAATTCTTCCCTGATTTAGGACTTTTCTGAGAAGGTGTGGTGGGTGCCAGGTGCACATCAAACTGCTCCCTCACTCCCCTTGCTAAGCAAGACGGGGGAAGAAAATAAGATGAAGAGGCTCGTGGTTTGAGATAAGGACAAGGACATCACTCATGAGTTACCATCATGGGCAAAACAGACTCTACTTGGGCAAGATTAATTTATTGCCAATTGATAACAGAGTAGGAATGTGAGAAACAGAGACAAAACTAAAACCACCTTCCCCCCGAGGCTCTTCTTCCCAGGCTCAACTTCACTCCTGACTCTCTGCCTCCCACCACTGCTGCCACTGTAATGTGACCTGAGGATTTTTTCCTAGTCTTGGCCTCTGTAACTCATCCATTCAAGAATCTCGTTTAGATGAGAAAATGCAAGAATGGGCACCATAAACATATGCTTGGTCGTTCTTAACTAGTGTCAAAGAATTTAAGGACTTCATCAAAGAGTAGACGTAAGTGAAAACCTTTGCAGAGGATTGAAACATGCTATTCTGAAAATAACTGTGTATAGTGCTGTCTTGCAGCTATTTGTAAGTATGGACAATATCAATTTAGTCCAGATGCTGTCAGACAGGTCCCGTGTTGCTTTCCACACTCCAAGGACTTTATTAACTCCATAAACTTTATAGACAAGGTGGGTGACAGTTCTTTGCTTCATTCTTGTGCCTTCTGTAAAGGTGCGTACAGCTGTGTTCTTTAGGAGATCAGTAGCTGTAGTCTCAGGACTCTTACGGACTTGGCAGTATGCAATAGCATTGTTAGTGGGCAGCAGCCTCTGCCCCAAGAGAGGTGTTCACCTTGCATATCACTGTTGTAACATTGCCTTTTCTTCTGTGGCCTCCTTGTCAGTTACTCTAAGCAGAAGGAAATGCTGAGAGTAGCTGAGGTAGAAAACACAGTGGATCTTGCTGAAGAATGAAACTTGCGGGGCGGGGGGGGGGGGAGGAAGAGGGAGAACAAATAGTTTGCTTTTGAACCTGATCCTGTGATCTCTTAGTCACATGAATAGATTCTTGTTGACCTCCTCCCTAGACAGACTTTTGAGGTTTAGTCTTTTGTTTTATATCAGAAGGAAACTGTTATTAAGGAATGTCCCTATCTGTTTTTGATGCTTTGACTGGCCATTTTCTCCTAATTCATTTTAAGGGGTGTTTGGTAAAGAGAGCTTCTTGGCAGCTCTCCAATCTTAATAGCTTCTGAGAAAACGCATTGATTGGCCCTTTTGTTTTCAAAAGATTGCTGTAATTTTCAGTCATCTATGAGGAAATTGGTGTAATTTATTAAACCAGCATCATGGGTTAAAAATTAAAGACCTGATTGTTTTATCACTTAAACTGCTGGTATGTTGATGTTACCCATGAGGAACTTCAGTAAGACAAAGAGCAAGTGGAAGAAGTTCCTATGAACTCTAAAAAGCAAGCTTCTTACACCTCTTTCATAAGCTCTGAATTGATTCTTGAAAATAATTTTCTGCTTTTTTTCTTGCTCCTAACAAGAATAAACTGCATTTGTTGGAGTTCGGGTAATGAAAACAGTCCAAAAAGTATCATATTAAAAAAAAAAAAAAAAATCTAAGAATGAGCTTATGCCTGAGAAACAGAACATTTAGCTAGCACTCTGTATACAGAGTTTGGGTC